CACCAATGGAAGGGTCCCTCCATGGAGCAACACGAGCTTGGCCATGGAGTCCAAAAATCCCAACAGCACACGTTATTTCAGTAGCTTGGCGTGTGCAGTGGGGGGTTTGGAACATCTTGGCGTGTCAGGCCTCGACCGCATTTGCTTGGGGCACTGGGCACTGGATGGGATGCTGTCCTGATAATTGCGTTGCCATCTTTTCCTTTTGGACTTGCACTAGTCAGAGGCTGCGCAGGTGGTGTCACGCGGTTTTGCGGCTAGATGTGTCGCCGCATCTACGCAATATGATGCGACTTGGTTCATGTGTATTATATGTGTGCTTCTGCGCTTCTGCGTTTTTTCAAGGTCAGGTTATCGCCTTTCAACACCTTTTGCGCAGGTGTAAATGGCGTGATGATTGCTCGTGGGGCTTTGTGGAACCCGAGCATTTTCTGCAAGGACTGTATGCGGGCCGTGTTTCAAGTCTGCCTTTTTGTCAGCTGCGTGACTTCCAGTGGTTTAAAAGGCGCGTAAGGCGGATGAGTTCGCATGCAGAGATTTCACGACTATTTAGCATCCGTTGCAACATATTGTCCTGATGATAGAGCCTCACGGAAGGTGGGATAGAGATAGAGGCCTCATATCCAGGAGCTTTCTACAATGTGCCTTCAAGCAATTGATCCAATAGTTGGGGGCTTGCCCGGCATTTTCCACGCTGCAGTCCATACTCCTCAAGCAGGCCAACCCCGAAAGTAGTATGCTTTTGTTTGTGGGAATCCATGCTATTTCTTCTGTGAGGAATGCTTCTTGCTCGCACTGTCTAAGACATACAAGTTACACCCGTGTTTCAGTCAACGGGCCGGGCTTAGACGGAGCCCTGAAGCCAAGCTACGGTGTTGGCATGTTTTCTGGCCTTCGATTTGCATGAGGCATTGTGAGGGTGGAAGCTTAAGCCTGAACATGAATATGGGCTGGCCACACGCATTGATTTGGGTGTGGCTCAAAGTTAACCAGGAGGGGTTACGCAGGTTTTGGTCCATGTTTCCACTTACCAGGGTTCCATATTGGTACCGTTTTTTTTCTGAGCCACAGCCATTTGGTTTTGCATTTATTGACATGTATATGATAGTGCTCTATGATCCCGCCTTCATTGAACCTTTCAATCGAGAACATGGCTTCAGAATTTGTACATATACATTATGTACATCATCATATGCACACGTCAGGGTCTATAAGTTCCAAACACTGCAATTCCTGCCAGCATTTGGTACAGTTGCATGAGCAACTACAACTTGCCTTGTTTGTATTGACAACAGGTACGGTAACGCTTTTTGAACATGGTTGGCGTGTGCAAACATGAGTTCAGCAGGTGTAAGCGCCCACTTACAGTTACAAGTCTTCAGGTAAAGCAATGGCGCACATAGATTTATACATTTACCATGCCACAAATGGATTGGTATCACACATCACGCCCCTTGTCTCATTTTCCCCTTGGCTTCAAACGGCTTCGATGCTTCTCGCAGGACCGCGAGGTGGCTTTTGAGGACATGGCCAGATCCTACCTCCGCAGTGCCGTGGCGTGCTGCTTGGTGAAGTTCGACCATCGGCACCATCGGTTCGGCCGACCTTTTCGACAGGCTGGGGATGGGGCCTCGAAATTGTAGACGTCCCGTTGTAGTTGGGATATATATATATATATGTATGTATATGTATATATATATATATATGTGTGAGTGTAGTGGATTTATGCCAAAGCATGCCAAATCGCGAGAGCAAGAAGCAGCTTGAGCTTGTAATGTCCAGTCGGGATGAGTAAAGGGCCCCCCATCTGCCCCTAGCAATGGTCGCACCTGAAATAGAATCTCGAGGTCCAGTTCAATTGAGTTCCAAGTTGATTTAGTATTGCCGGAGCTTACAGTTTCGTTTGATTTAGTATTGCTGGAGCTTCCTTTTGAGATTTGGAGTTGAGTTTTCATTTGATTTTGTATTGATAGAGCTTCCTTTTGAGATTGCTTTTGGGGGCAGCCAGGTCGCAAGACTGTATTCCAGGAGCCGAATTGCGGGGCCTAAAGTACTGCCCCCTTTGCGGGTTTGATTGCGGCATTGCGGACATTTTTTAAACAAGAGACATGTAAGAAACATGGGTTTGGGAAAGCTGGAAATGTTGGGTTTTGAGAGCTGAAAACAAGGTACCGAGATCCAAGAACCACGTGTTGGCTTGGCTACCTCTCCGCTCCTTTCTCTTCTTTTGTTTTGCCTTTTTTCCATTTCAAACATGGGCGGGGTGGCGCATTCGGTAGTTTTGTTGGGCCACCTGTTTGTCTTTGTTCTGGTTACATATGGTCGGGCAATTTGTGTGTGTGTGTGGTTTGCTTTTGCGAAATGGTGTGGGCTGGGTAGTTGCTGCTCATGTCGTTTGAAGGTACCAGGTACTACGCGCGGCCCAACTGTTAGTCCCGAGGGGACTGGTGAATACGGGGAGGGCATTGAGAATGGGGGCCCGTGAAAAAGAGATGTCCAAAGTGTGGCTTCCGGGTGAAGGTTCATTAGCAGTATATTCTGAGCTGGGCTGATCAGAGTGGTCATGGGACGTTGTCGCTGCATAGGCTCAGGAGGGTGTGCTGCCTATGTTATTACACTTGTCAAGTCACACGGCTCATTTGTTGGCCTTTGATCAGGACCTCTTGTGAGGCCCATATTTACAACACGCTCGGTGGTTAGACAAGAGACAGTGTCCAACCAAGGAGGGGCGATAGGCGATAATGACACCTCATCTAGAGCTCAAACCCGGCGAACTTGTGTGGACCAACTGCGTTTTTGTTCCTCCTCCTGTGTGAAAAGGGATGTGCAGTCTGACTCAATAGCTTGGTTTCAACAGTCACTGGTCACGACAAGTTGCACCAACTGCGTTGCATCGCATGCCCTTCTCCCAAGACAGACAACATCCCAGTCACATGCACGAGTACAACCAGTGCTAGGAACCACAACACCGCCGTGAAGTCGCATCGAGCATTCCTAAGTGCACGTTTTGCGTTCTTCTCACTAGCAGCACCTGGCCATTGCCCATTGCCGGTCGGAAACCAAGGCAATAGCAGCTACCAGAATACAAAGTGGGTCCTGTCCCAGATGCTGGAGGGCGGCACGGGCGTCACTGTGCCTACCAGCTTCCAAGGGGTGAACATGACGCTTGGAGCTGATAGCATGTCGCAACGGTCGTATGCGGCTAAGGCCGATGCCCAAGGCTTGACCCCGCGGTGTCCCTTCAAAACAATTTCGCTGGGACTGGCCAAAGGCGGGCAAGGAACACGTTCGAGGATGATAACTTTGACTTACCGCAGAGGATGATCGGGATAATGTTCTGTCATGCAGTCACAGAGTCGACCTTTTTGTGCACCGCCGGTTTCAGGAAGACCTTCAACCGCGAGCTCTCTGCCAGCAAGTCCATGGCAGGCCTTTGCAGTGCTTTCGGGGAGGTTTACGAGGCGAAGTACCCCGCCCGCGCGCATACCACGGTTTTCTACAAGGACTTTGCTTTCCCTCAGGCGCGCGCACTGCGTAAGTTGCCTTGAAAGACTGGAAATTCGATTTTGGGGTTGGTGATGTGGGAATGAGTTGCTTTTTGGCTAACATGAGCGTACGTAGCAGCTAGACAGTTCACATTACTTGGTCCGGAAAGCCTTGGAATAGCCTTGAAAGCATCATGGATCCGTGCGCTGGGACCTTGTTAAGGCCATCGTGCATTTAGCAACCGCTTTGCGTTGAAATGGAGAGAACCACAATCTGACGATAAGTCATGTCCCAAGACGTTCTGTAGAATTGCCCGCATGGTTTGAACATCTGACATGTTGTCCGTTTCCCCATGCAATGTTGTTTTCTTTTTCCGCAAACAGTCCCCGACTCAGGCCGGTGGAGACCTTTCGGAATTCCCTTTTGCTTTGCAATATTGTGAGATGTTGTGGGTGACTAGCTGTGGATGACTACATTCAGGCATGATCTCCAAGTCTGAAGATTGGGCTTTGACATGAGCCATTGCTTAATTTTAGCTGGGTAGCCAATGTCAAGACCCGTGACAGGTCGACGAGGCTCAGCCTGAGCTGGACGTAGCGCCGGACGGTGCTGATGAGCCGCCTGCCAAGTGCCGCAAGTTAGACTCGGAGAGCTGAGGCGTTGTTGGCAAAGCTGAGCCGTGTGAACAGGCTTCGAGCTTCACATGTGCGTGTTTGTGGGTGCGCGAGTGCGCGTGCGTGCTCAAGTTGGTGTTGAAGCATCGCCCCGGCAGAAATCACATCCCAACTTTGTTGTTCAATTGGTGTTATGCTTGTGTGTTTAATTGCAACATGGACAGATACTATGCAGACAGTCCACCTTGATGATGGAGTCTGAAATTCTGGAAGGTCAGGATTCAGCACAGCATCCAATAGATGGCCTCATTTGTGCTTTGTGTGCACATGTTTGGCCAGTAACTCCAGTTCTCCGAAGTTGCTGTCAATCTGCCGAATGTGCAGCCTGATGGCTTCTAGGAAGAAGGTCTCACTGTCTTGTTTGAGCTCTGAGCTTTGGGGCGCTAGGATTTGGTGTATGCTTGCTTGGGCGGTCGGAGGAGAGGAGCATAGCAATCCGATTCGTGACAGGGCTGGCACGTCACGAGCACACTCGCATCATTAAGCCCTGCCGTTTCACGAAGCTTGTCCATGCCCACATCCCGCTCACGAATCAGCCTCAGAGGTCCAAGCATCCGCCAAGAGAAAACCACCTGGCGCCAGCGTGCCCCAGTGGCCCAGGCTTGCCTCTCACCCAATCGCTTTATTGGAGTCCGCCCAGGGGCACTCCTGCGCACTACTCAGTCCCCATCAAACCTGTGTTGAAACTGCAGCACCATGGGCATGCCTCAAAAATGGGGGGGGGGATGCAGCTGTTGGGAGATGCTGCTGGCGGGGGGCATCCTCCAGTTCCTTTTTTGGGTTCCCATCGAACCCATCCAAACAGGGGCTCCACTTGAAGAACCGCTGCCCGGGCTCCAGGCCCAGTCTTCGGACCGCTGCCTGCCTTGCCCTGGGGGCAGCTTCAGCCAGGGGTCCGGGCCCCGGCTCGGGAAGCGGGAGCATGCGGGCGGAGAGGCGGTGGAGAGGCGACCTGTCCATTCGATACCGTGGGTGGACCAAATCCGACACTTTGAAGCCATAGGGAAACCATTGTTTGGTGGAATTTGCAGGAAATCACAATTCCGGGGTTTGTTAGAGTTGTGCAGGATTTCGTCCATTTACCGTGTGGATTTGTCTTTTTCTTCGGGGACCCCCCCCAAAAAAAAACACATGGTGGTATTCCTGTTGGTTTCCCTTCACACCCACCGAATTGGTACCCCCCCCCCCAAAAAAAAAAAACAAACAAAAAAGAACAGAAGAGACTCGTCGCAAGTGCCACTCAAGTTGCAGGTCTTGCTTTGCTCAACACGAACTGCCCACGAGAGCTCGGCAGAGCATTGAAGCGGACGCCCCAAAATAGTTGGAGAGGACGATATTGATGAAACGTGTCCATCTTGCCATGATGCATCACAAGTACCATCAGGCCTCATTTGAGCCTGTGTGGTTGTCCGAATGCACTAAGTCACTTGTTTTGCTACGCATGTCTGGAAACGGCATTAACATGACAATGGGTCATGATCTTGATGAGCTGCGCATTATTTTATCTTTGGGGAAGGCATGTGCAACCCTCGGGATCCGGATGCGGGGCGCATAGCAACTCCAGGAATAGTATCGGGTATCGGTAGGAAAGGAATGGTCAAGTTGAACATGTCAGCACGATCGTCCTGGTGTGCTTTGCAGTGTGCATAGGACAGCTCGTCCTCGCGGTTCAGCTTGGCACCACCAGCTTCTTTCCAACATACTTTCAAAGAGTCAAAGCCAGATGGGCGAAAAAGAAAAAACACATGCTTTTCCAGCATGCTGGATTTATACCTGGTCGCAAAAGGTGACATGCTTCATTAGTCCTGAAAGAAGGGCTCCCGGAGGCACCTACATCGGGGTAAGCTTGTTTTACCCGCAGGTGAGCTCGCCCTAGGCAGACACAAGAAATGATCTTTGCCACCAGCCTGTGGTGAGGCCGGCGTCAACGCACATACACACAAACGAGCGAGCCAACAGTTTCTGAGGAAGCCTCAGCCTCAGCTCGGTGAAAAGCCCGCGGGGAAAACGTTGGCCAGCGACACAAATGACCGAGAAGCAACTATATTCAATATGAGCGCGGTGTACGGCATCTTGCCTTGCCATCAATGAAGCTCTTCTGCCCTGCGCACATCAACCAAGGAAGCCAGGGCTTCCTGACAGTAAGGGTCGTAACATGCAAGTTTGACTTACCCAGGCAGATGCATTCCTGCGACTCATCGAGATACGGTGTTCAACATAGAGTAGGCCAACAACTCTTAAAAACAGCTGCTGAAATTCCCGCGCCACCCTGACTGTACCGTACCTAACCCACACAGTCAAACGCGCACACATCCTCTTTTTTTGCTGGGCGTGCAAGACAGGAGAGGTCGAGCTCAGCTGGGGTAAATTGAGCTCAACGTCAAATGTCGCTTACTTGGGGATTCGGATTGTCTCCAATTTGTGCATTACAAAACGCTTCTTTTCTTGAGGGTGCCATATGTGGGACTGTCTCAAGGAGAAACCGCAAGGAAAGCCGCATTGTGCGGATTTTCGGGGTTCCCTTATTTTGACGCGCACCCAGACTTTGCGCAGATGCTACGTCATCAGATTGCCTCACTTTCCCAGGGCGGCCGCTCGCTGCGAGCAATGCCCCAGGGGCACGAGCACTGGGCCGCAGAGGCGACATGTGGCATGCACCGCGCGTTGACCGATTCGACCCAGACGGAATCTTTGCAGAGTCTGGGATTCAAGCCCTGTGTTTCGCGCATGACGTACCTAACGCGTTTGAATAGCTTTGGGATTGCTAGGCATTGTTCCATGGGGATGAGGGTCTTAACTTCGGGCGAGAAGATCCGAGCCAACTGGCTTCCGGAAAGGTATAAGGTGCCAATAATAGCTGACTCTCGGAAAGGAAAGCCACGGTGCAAACCTCTCGGTGCAAGGTCCGACGCTTTGAATTCTGGCATGGGGATAGCTGTGCTCGCAGGCATGGCTGCGCCTCCTGCACACCAGGCGAGGCAGTTGGCATTCGGCATTCTATGTTTCCGGAATCTGATGAAACTGGTGTTGTTCTTGGAGTGCCTGTATTGGTTGGCGGCTGTTTCCTTTGTGGCCGCTATTCTTGCTATGGTGCCCCTGATTGCATTAACTAGTCTCGCAGGGGCCGCAAGCCAATCTTGGAAAGGGTCGCTTCTCAGCCCTGGAAGCAGCCCAAGCCCCATCTTTGAGAAATTTGAGGATTCAAGCTGCTTTGCCTGTTCGAGCATGGTGGTTTCAACGGTCTGGCGGAATCGCTCTTAAGAGTCGTAGGCTTGTCGGGCTTTGTTTGAAAGAATGCAACATAATGAATTCATATGCCCTTGGGCTGGGACATGCGAACAAGAGCTCAATGCACAACAAAACGCTGAGAACGCCAGTTTGTTGTTCAATCAAGGCTACCTGTTTACGCGAGGACTCGTATGAACAGTCAGAAGGCCTTGAAGGCTCGAAGTATGCAATTGTTCAACTTGGCAGGGGTCATTTCTGTCAGCTTGCTTGCAATGTCGGCCTGAGGGGTTTTGAGGGGCTGTGCAGCTTTGTCACGAGAACGACCAACTTGATGATGCCGATTTTGTGCTTCGCCGCGCAGACGCGGGGGCTGACGGGCTGGCGCCAGGCTTCTTCAGCGACTCCGTCGGGGGCACCAGCTGCGCAGCATGTCCGGCAGGAGCCGGCGACAGCTGACCCCGTGCCCCCGACTGGGGTCAAACATATGGCGGTGGGTCAGAACCAATGGTACCATTCCGTGGTAGGTGCACCACCCATTTTAGTCGACTTTAGTGGGGATTGGGATGTTCACTGGGGGTGCGGGCTTTTGACTGGCCATATGTTTCTTGATTTCTTCTGGACAGGGCATCTGAACCTCATTGTGCCTGCCTGTTGCCTGGCTTGGCTTCAAGCGGCAATGTGTAAAAGCTCATGGCTGATTCGTGGCTTTCGGTATAAATAGCCATTTGTTTGTTGTGCGTCCAGCATCTATGCCACCAGTTTCATTTCGCCTTTGGATGGAGCGTGCGCGCTGTGTTGGGCGGCTGCCAGGAAGCTTTTCGAATTCTTCGGGTGCCACCAAGTCAGAGAGCTTAGACCTGACGCAGACAACTCCTTGGCACACGGCATGCATGTCCGAAGAGAGTGGGCCAGTGGAGCAATCCATGATGTAGAGTGATGCATGGTTTGGTGGAACCCTACATGATGTGTGTATGTGCTAATTGTTGCGGTGTACTTGGTGTGGTTTGAATCTAATCTTGGGTCGGCTTAGTTTGTTGCTTTGCCAGCCATTTGCCACCCACTGAAATAGGATCATAGGATCAACACCCGCATTACTGTTCGGCACTATTTTCCCTGAGGTTGCTCATAGATCATCTAGGATTGATAGTGTCAAGCTTCCCTTTGCTAGAGTTTGTGCCCGCAAAGCGACTCAGGTGCCAGAAGTGTCCCCCGGGCACTGTGGCGCAGCTGTCTGGGACCAGCGCGCCTCGAGCAAGCAGGGCTTGCGGAGACGTGGGGCGTGGCAGATTCGGAGGGTCACGCGGCACACGCTGATTTTGGGGCCAAGTCGCGCGGATAGTGCCCGTGGTCCTGACTTCTTCCACGTAATCATGTCTGTCACGTTGCTGACCGTCTGAACCGTCCAACGTGAAGGTGCAGAAGCATTGAGCCAGAAGCATACAAATCAGCATCCAACTTCTCGCCGGAGCATTGGGGCCCACACGCATGATTTTATCAGCATGGCTCGGTGTTGTTGCTTGGCTTTGCTCACCAGTTTCATTCAGCCTAGGGGTCACAAGGAACAATCCTAGCATGTCATCAGACATGTGAATCAGCCTGCAAGTGTGCTTGGCGTTGCCGCCTTTGGCAACAAATGAGCGCTCAAACAGATTTTTGAACATTCTTGGTCACTCTCTTGGAATCAACTGCGCCTTGGACTTCTTGGAAAACACATCGCTTTGTTTGCCACGCAACGAGGCTTCACCCAATAGCCAAAACCAGCCTTGCTGATTCCCTGTGCCTCCACATGATTTTCGGACAACCTGTCAAAGCCAGCTGAATTCGATTGGCTGCTGTTGCTTGAGGCATGCGCAGCCTGCACCCCGGGCTCCTACAGCCCCCGAGATACCCTGCGCTGCGAGCAGCGCTTTGGCGCGTGCAGTTGTGCTGGGTTGGGCAAGCTTTGTTCCCACAACCATCCCTTGGTCCCCTTAAAGCCTTTCATTGAAAGGTTGGTGGTGTGCTCATTGGGGCACCCAAAGAAACACCCAACAAATCCCCTGCAAGGGAAACTGAAAAGGCCGCAATTGTAGCAAGGGGGTCGGCCCAACCATGTGTTTCAGCAAGTGGTTTGTTCCTCATGTCTTATCATGCTTTATCAATGCAATGTATTTCTAGCCTTTCTTGTTACAGCAGTGTGCAGAGAAGTCAATGCCGAAGAGATGCCAATCATGGCAGCCCAGTTTCTGTCGATGATTGATTGCAAGCCCCCCCCCCTCGCCCGCGATTGACGAACCATGTTGGGGTGCGTTTAATGCGGCATTCTGGCCTTCCCACACATTCAGGAATGCTGCTTCCCGAAACAGAAGGATGTTCTTGTTCGTGCTTGCTCGGTCGGGAAGGGTTTGTGAGCTGTGTAGTATGTTTGCATTCGTGCTTGCAATGTTGACATGGGCAGGGCAATGACGCATGCTTCCAGCACGTGACCTTCCAAATGGAAATGAATTGCCGAAATGTGAAAATCCATGCCGACTCATTCTGGAAGAGCGGCTTATAATGACTTGTTTTGAGGGCAGCGTTGGGTCCAGGCAATGCCAGGCATTTGCAAGAATACCCGCATTTGTCACAAGCACTCGTGCGCAGGCTCAGCGACAGTTTTTTGTGAGCCAAGGCCGTGTTGCTAATCGCTACCGGGAGTCGATGTTCCTAGACCTGGCTTCTGTGTTGCATGGTTGGCGAACTTTGTTTGGCCATGCCACTAACTTTCATGCTGCTGACGGCCAGTGTCCCTCACGTTTCTGGCTTGCAAAGTCATTCGGTTTCTCACCATTTGCCCGCCAAGCATTTCCATTTTTCTTCCTTGTGCTGTTGGAGCCGAGGATGTTATTTCAGGATGGAACCATTGACAAAATGAAGCTTGAGTGAAGTCACACTCGGCGAGCAGATCTCAGGTGCCCTGTGGGCAAGTACCAATACTTGGCCCGGCAGACCAAGTGCTTCGAGGCACAGCTTCTGGGAAGCTTGTGCCGTATCTTTGCAATGGCAATGGTAATGGGAAGTATGTAGTGGCAATAGTATAGTGGCAATAGTATAGTGGCAACAGTATAGTGGCAATAGTATTTTGTGGCATTTTGTGGCATTTTGTGGCCATAGTTTGGATGGATGACAAGCGCTGTGAATAGGCCATATGGTGCTGAATGGTATCAATCAAATGCAGCAATAATGTGAATTTGAAGCACAAACCAGCAAATGACGCTTGGTTTGCCGACACTGGCTTGATATCGGTTCAATACGCACAAAGTTGGAGGCCTGGCTTGAAGGCCATTGGTCACCAAACCAATCATGCTTTTCATGTGCGAGCTATTCGTTGAAGACGTGGTATTGCATCAACGTTGTTTGTGCGACCATTTGTGATCCTTTATGGCCAAGCATTTGCAATCATCTCCATGCCTAGCGAGGAAATGTTGTAGATGTTGACACTGGTAGTTAGTTAGTTGTGCTTGTGGATCAGATACTTCTTGAGCGTTTGGGACATGATGAGGCTGCTCAGGGCCAGCCTGCACTTCGTTTGCAGGTTAAACTTTCACATGTACAGCCCCGCTTGTAGCACACTTGTTTCTATACATTCACGGCTAGCACAAAGCTGGGGACAACATTGCACTACCCTTTCCTATGTTACCGTGGAGCAGAGAGGTAGTGAATGTTTCAAGAGAACACTGGTCTTCCAAAAGGATTTTCTTCGTGCATGATGTGCATGCATGAAAAGGCTTGTTGTGCACCTGTACTCGCCCATGTGTCACAAAATAGCTGAGGCAAACTGCTTGGTAAGATTAGTGACTCATCGTTGATCGACAGTGGCAGTCGCACACTGATATACTCCTGCAGTTTCGCGTGATGCGACTCAGTCTCATACTGATTGATCAACATGTTGGGAACCATCGTTCATTTGCAAATTGCAACATTAGCGAGAGTCGGCTGGAGCACAACGGATGACTGAAGACGTCAAGTTGCTCGGAGATCGTGCAGTTGCTCCAGCGCTTTTCCGTGTTTTCAACGTGCACACTTCATTGGAGGACCAGCTGTGTAAAGGCTTTGTATAAGCGCTGGTTAACTACCACAGCAACTACATACAACAATCACAACGACGACAAGAACAATGCAGGAACCAGAACTAGACCCATGCCAACTGGCAAGAACGCAATCAAACAAGCAAGCCAACAATAAAGCAAGCAAATAAGTACTCAAGCAATTAACCACTAAGCAAGCAACCAACTAACTAACCAAACACAACAGTAAACAGGCACGCAAGCACACAAGCCAAACAAGCCAGCCACGCCAAGCAGACCAACCAATGCACCAAACAAACAAACAAACAACTTACTACTAAAAGAACGGACACAACAAATACACAAAACTAATTCATGTAACAAAGAGCGAACACAACGCTGCAATTAAATTCAGAAGCAACTGGAGAAACACAAAGAAGCGAGCAGACAGAGACAGACACAGCCACAGAGACAGACCGACACAGACAGCGACAGAGCCACAGATACAGACACAGCCACAGAGACAGACCGACACAGGCAGCGACAGAGCCACACACACACAGACAGACACAGACACAGACAGAGACAGAGACAGACAGAGAGACGCTGAAGAGACAGAGACAGAAAGAAAGACAGACAAACGCAAGCAAGCGTGGACGCAAATAACAAACAATCAAAGAGGCAAGCAAACGAACACAACCAAAGGCCACAATAGCAAACCGCAATGGCAGTAGCAACAGCTAAAGCAACGGCAACGGCAACAGCAACAACAGCAGTGGCAGCAGCAGCGGTGGCGGGAGCAGCAGCAACGCCAACCATTACATGCACAACAGCACCATTGAGGACAACGACAGCAGCAGCAGCTACTATTTCTTTACGACTGCTACTACGACGACGACGGCAATGGCACCACGCAGCGCCAGCAACGAGTCCGCTACCACAAGCACAGCAGAAGTGCTGCACGAGCCGCAGCACGGGCACCAACGCAAACCACACTAGCAGCAGAACCAGCAGCAACAGAACACCACAGCCAACCACAGTGACGCCAGGGATGGTGACATGAATAGTCTGTAATATGTGTCTGCCGTTTTCGCTTTCGTGCAGGCGGCGCAGTCAGTTGGCTGGCCAACAGGCCCCCGCAGAAACGAGAAAAACATCCAACTTGTTCAGGTTGTTGAACGCCTTGGGCACACCCTGGGGAATATCAGGAGTAAGAGCCACCCTAGGAGGCTTCCATTTTGCAAGGACTCCCTAGGAGAGCGGAGCTTCGAGCGTGGAGCCCCGGACCATCAAGATGCAAAAGGCCTAGGCAGAGTTGCAGAATCCATGAAGAGTGCATGCTAGTGATATGCAAGTGATGTTTTCGAGTCACAAAGATCAGAATCAGGCTGCCTTTGAGGGGTTGCTGCCGGAAGCTTCTCAGCTTTAATGCCAAGGAAAGAGCGAACCTCAACCAGTAATAGGTTCGCCTTTGGTCCCGGACAGATTCCCTTGCTGGATTTGTTTGCATGGGACATCAAAGGGAACCTACCCATCTTGCAGGCTCCTCTATTTAGAGACGCACCCATATTGAAGGAGCACGTCATGCCCCTGATCCAAATGGTTGGTTGATTCCAATGCCTTGATTTGACTCGCTCTTGTGCCGCTACGCTTCAAGGAGCTCAGAGTCAAACTTCGACAGTACAAAAGAAAGGAGCATGCAAGCGAGTGCTTCGGCGATTGTCACACTCGGGGACTTGTGTTTCAAACGGAACCTTAACTGTAATTGTTTGGACTTTGCTGGTCTTGCATGCGCCAAGGGCTCGGTCAAGATGTGTACGGGTGGTTTACGACAGCCTAGGTGCCAAGGAGCCGTTTGGGCAGGGCTTGTTCGTATTCACTGTTATTGGACAATTCATACTGCTCCCAAACGTGTGTTCATCAATTGCTTTGCTGCCTCGGTGGACATAGGCCTTGTGAGACAGTTGCTGGGACCCTTGCAGCTCCGGAAGCAACGCGGCATGGGTATGCATGGGTATGGATCCCCTCTTTCAGGACTTTTTGAAAGGGAAGTGAGCAAGATCCAAGAGGATACACCCATTTTCTGGGTACCTCCACTTGGATACAAACAATCACTTCCGCCCTTCGCTCGCCAGCTTTCGAAGTTGCAGCGAGCGAGCCTCAAGCTAGCGGGCAAGGGGGCGTTGCCTTAGGCAGCCATGGGGTGCGCCACGGCAACGTCGATGGCGCCTCCCTCGGGGGTTCCACAACCGGGACCGCCATCAATGGGGAAGCCAGCGCTGCCCGGCACAAAGGGAGGCCCGTCAAGTTTGATTGTATTGAACTTGTGTGTGGACCAGGCTGGGTATCCTTGCCTGTCCAGACATAGATTGGATTTGGGCGGTGAGTAGTACGTTTGCCAACTGTTGTCTCCTACGCCAGGAACAAGAAACTGAAAGCAATCGAGCTGGATGTGTGCCCCTTAAGAGGTCGCAACACATCAGAAGCCTGAGACACTTGTTGTCTAATGTTGCTGATGGCTACGTTACTCCAGCCTTTTTAGCTGCAAGGAAGAGGCTGAATTCATCATGGGCATAGTGACTCGTAGCATCAATGAGCAAGCTCAAGCCTTTCATGTTGTTTTTTTTCCCTATTTTATGATTCTTATTTTTTTGCTGGTGCTTAGAGAGAGTGTGCGTCACATGGCGCAAAGTGGGCATCCATCAGGCGTGCGCCCAAGCGTGCCAGGGTGCTGATACCCTTTGTTCAACAATGGGCATGGACAGGGGAAACCCAAAACGAGAGTAGTCTTTCAAAATCCTCCGATCGCCAGGTTCCAGTTCCCAGCAACAATTCATTAAACGGCGCGGCCCAGGAAGTAGCGTTCAGCTTTTAGGCACGTGTTTGACTGGCTTTGGTTGGACTTTAGCTTTAAGCACTGGCATTTGCCCAGCAGCCCAGAAAAGTGAATGGATTTTGTCAGGTGTCAATAGCCATCAAGTTTGGACCCGTATTGGCAAGGAGGAATTCCTGTTACATTTTGCCATATCCCTGCGGCTCGACCGACACGCCCACCCCAGCGAGCAAGCCGCACATACACACAAAGAAACAAAAATAAGTGGGGGATGAATCTTGTGGTTGCTCGTGCACGAACAACAGCACCGAGCGGCGAGCTGTCTTGGTATCTGGCAAGTTGGGTGATCTCCCCTCAAAGTGGTGTCGCCTGGTTGACCTGGCGGCTTGCTTGCGATGAGTCCACATCTTGGTGTTAGGTATTGTGAAAACTGCACTTCTCCCCGTGGAAGGCATACCACGTGTTCTAGCATTCATTGTTCTACCCATTCTCATGGTGAGCTCACCGATTCCAGGGGGGGAGGGGGCGGCACAAGCTCCCCATTAGTTCCTTGACTTGGGATCCAGGTCTTGGACTTGTCGAATATGCTCATGGCTTACTTCCATTTGCTTTCAGGATGGCCTCGATGATGGTCAAGGTGCCCCTGGCCGCGAAGCCTGGGCAGCTGCTTCAGATGACCACACCACACGGCACCCAAATTCAATGCCAGGCGGGCGCGGATGGTTTTTTGGCTGCTGGTGGTTTTGGCTGTGGCCGTATTTGCTCTCATTGTATGCTTGCATGCGCTGCTGCATGCGTGCCTCTGCGTTCATTTGCTTCCAGTTGTTTCGCGGGTAAAATGCACGTGGTTGTGCTACCACGTGCATGCTCTCGTTTTTCCATTGGCTCGCGCACCTGCCTGAGCGAGTGTGCCTGCTTGCGTCTTCCACACATGTATGTGTCTGGGTGTGTGTGTGTGTGTTTGTGTCTGTGTGTCTGTGTTTGTGTGTGTGTGAGTGAGCGAGTGTGTGTGTGTGTGTTGGTTTGTGTGTCTGCGTGTCTGTGTGTTTGTGTGCGTGGTGTGTCTGTGTGTCTGTGTGTGTGTGTGTGTCTGTGTGTCGGTGCGTCTGTTTTCTGCGTGTGTGCCAGTGTGTGCGTGTGTGCGTGCGTGTGCGTGTGTGTTTGTTTATGTGTGTGTATGTGTGTATGTGTGTGAGACTGTGTGGTGCGTGTGTGAGTGTGTGTGTGTGTGTGGGTGTGTGTGTGTGTGTGCGTGTGCGTGTGCGTGTGCGTGTGCGTGTGTGTCGTGAGTGCGTGCGTGCGTGCGTGCGTGCGTGCGTGCGTGCGTGCGTGCGTGCGTGCGTGCGTGCGTGCGTGCGTGCGTGAGTGTGAGTGTGAGTGTGAGTGTGAGTGTGAGTGTGAGTGTGAGTGTGAGTGTGTGAGTGTGTGAGTGTGTGAGTGTGTGTGTGTGTGTGTGTGTGTGTGTGTGTGTGTGTGTGTGTGTGTGTGTGTGTGTTTGTGTGTGTGTGTGTGTTTGTGTGTGTGTGTGTTTGCGTGCCTGCTTTCGTGCGTGCGTGCCTGTGTCTGTGCGCGCGTGTGCGTGCGCGTGTGCGTGTGTGTGTGTGTGCACGTGAGCGTGTGCATGTGTGCGTGCATGCGTGCGTGCGTGCGTGCGTGCATGGGTGTGTGTGTGTGTGTGTGCGTGTGTGTGCGCTGGGCGTGTGTTGCGCTGTTTGTGTGTGTGTGTGTGTGTTTGTGTGTGTGTGTGTGTGTTTGTGTGTGTTTGCTTGTTGTGTGTCTGTGTGTTTGGTGTGTGTTCGTCTGTGTGTGTGTTCATGTGCTTGTGTGTTTGTGTGTGTTGTTTGCGTCCGTGTGTACTTATGATCCCAAGAAATGCCGGTGTGCGCTACTGTGCGTGCGATGTCAGGGTCATAACTTCTGCACACCCCCACGAAATGCATTTACATTGGGGATACACATGTGCAAAGCAAGGCAACGCAACAACCATGAAAAAATCGCAGACAAAGAAGCCCGCACGTGTAGCGCTCACGACGACGAAACCCCAAGTCCTGCTAGCTGCAGCGCCCGCATGCCAACGAGGCTGCTTGAGGTTGGTTTGTTTTCTTTTGCAGGAGGTGGAAAGAGGGCGGACTGCCTTGCTGGGTACTTCATTGTTTTGCCAAAGCAGCTCGTCCCTTGCGTTTTTGCAACAGTGCCTGCTAGTTGCAATTAGCCTTTCGTTGCCTGGGTCCGTAAGGTTTTTGCGTTTAGGCAAGGTTGCTTTGAGGTTTGATCTTGTGAAATCTCTGAAACATTTGCATTTGGAGCACAACTCTTTTGTATCAAAGCATGATTGCAGAAGGGAGCAAGCGCTTTCTTTTGCTTGACTTTGGTGCCACTGTTGCATGCCTTGCGTACGGTTGGCAAAATTGAGGGCCTAAACGACTTGGTGTCCATGGTCAGTTTGCTTCTTGTAAGATGAAACCATGGTCTTATGCTGGCATGTGTTGCACTGAATTCTGCAGACATGCGCGGGTGTGTGTTTTGTTCAGCTTCAACACCTTTGACAGCTAACACACCAATACTTGCATCTTTTGAGTGGCGAAATCGACGCACGCAGAAGGCCGTGTTGTCGCTTCGCAAAGCCCACCTTGCAGTTCGAAGGGTTTTCGTAGAATGCTACGGGGCTTTTGTTTCTGTTGTGACTCCAAAATGCGTTTCTCAACGCGTGCGGGTGCGATTCTTTTTGTTCGTTGCTCGTTTCAGCTGCCAGCGCCATGCAAATCCAACATCTAGCAGATGGTGAAACAGATTGCCATCGGGACGCTTTATGGAATCGCATTGCTTTTGGACTCCAATACTCTCCATGACGCAGGCAATTTCACACACACAAGCTCGCGTGCATATGAACAAACAAATGAATAAATAAATAGATAGATAAATAAATACATCTAGATGTATCAGAGCACCGCTTCTTCTGCCAGGTGCCACATGGACTGGGCCCGGACAGAGTTTTCCAGATTCAGCAACCTGGATTCTGATGTCATATGATGTCGCATGTGACGTTTTGGTTTGTCTTTTTATGTTATCGGGTATGCCTGTTCTGTCTTCTTGACCCGGAAGGTCATGCTCACCAAGCATGCGCGAAACCATAGCTTCTGCGGCAAGGTTAGTCCGTGATGAGCTGGTGCCTCCAAGACGGTCAACGGAGTTGAGCCTCTGCGTTGCCCTCAGAAAATGTAAATGCTTTGGGGTTTGATTGGTATTCGGTCTTCGTGCCACACTCTCCGGCCATTTGCTGTGACAAGCTGACACACAGCGCTTTGGATGGAACCTACCAGCGACAGATCACTATCTTTGGGAGAGTGACGCTCCGATTGGGGGTGCGGGGGGTGACAGGGTGGGTCAGTTGTAATTGCATCTTGGCACTTGCAGCGCCTGTGTCCACACACATGATGC